AATGCTGAGTTAGACAAAGTCAGAAGACGTATTCTAGGCAAAGAGCCGCTGCCTACCACTAAAGAAGTCTCGGAAGTTAGGAGGGAAGAAAGCAGCAGGTTGGTGATGATGGGAAAGAAATCCTCTAGCACTCATAGTGAGAACTCTGCACTCAATGTAACAGCCACTGAAATGGCAGTAGCTGCAGTTAATCTAAAACCAACAAATCACCCACAGCGGAAGATTGAAGAGAAAACCACGATCTGATGTGATTTCCATAACAAACCAAGGCACACACGAAAAACATGCTGGAAACTACATGAAAACCAGCAAATTGGAAGGTAGACAGATTTGGAGACAAGAATGGGCATGGAATGCAGGCTACTACTGAAACCGAGACATCCCCATTCAATAAGGAGCAGCTTGATCATCTCTCCAAACTGCTGAACCAAACTCAGGTTTCAAGTGTCTCCTCAGGTTCTCTTGCCCAAAAAGGTAGCTCTTTAAGTGCTCTCACTAGTTCTTTAAAACCGGCACCTTGCATCATTGATTCTGGTGCATCTGATGATATGACTAGTTTATCACATTTGTGTAGTACATATTTTCCAAGTTCTGGTCACTTAAAAATTCGTATTGCTGAAGTTAGTTTGTCTCCAGTTGCAGGAAAAGGTTCTATAGTTGTCTTAGAAAACCTTGTTTTAAAATCTGTCCTCTATGTACCTAACATTTTGTGCAATCTTTTATCAGTTAGTAAACTCACCAAGGATTCTAACTGTGTTGTCAAATTTCTCGATTCTCACTGTGAATTTCGGGAACTATATTCGGGGAAGATGATTGGCAGTGCTAGGATGGTTGATGGACTCTATTATTTTGATAATGAAATCTTCGAGGGTGGACAAGCTCAAGCTGCAAGTAGTAGTGATATTTCTATTTCTGTTAAAAGTCAAATAATGTTATGGCACTATAGGTCAGGTCGACCCAGTTTCTCTTACTTAAAACATTTGTTTCCATCCCTGTTCAAAAATTTAAATCCTTTGTTATTTCAATGTGAATCTTGTCAATTATCAAAGCATCATTGTGTTTCTTATCCTTCTCATTTATATCAAGCATCCAAACCATTTTATTTTATTCATAGTGATGTGTGGGGGCCTTCTCGAGTTACTAATGTGACTGGAACTAGGTAGTTCATAATTTTCATTGATGACCATACTAGAGTGTGTTGGGTATATCTTTTGAGAGGAAAGTCTGAGGCTACGAGAGTGTTTAAAGAGTTCTAAGCCATAATAAACCCGGATTTAAGTATTTAGAACCGACAATAGAAAAGAATTCTTCAACTCTTTTCTTGGTGATTGTTTGAAAGAAAAGGGTATTTTCCATCAGTCCACTTGCTTTGATACCCCACAGCAAAACAGGATAGCTGAGAGAAAAAACCGCCATTTACTTGACGTTGCAAGGGCAATAATGTTCACTATGGGGGTTCCTAAATATCTATGGGGTGAGGCTATTCATACAGCTTCATACTTGATCAACAGAATGCCAACTAAGGTGTTGAAATTTGAGACGCCCCTAAACAGCTGCTGTCAGTTTTTCCCCATATTAAAATCTTCAACTCATTACCTCTTAAAGTGTTTGGATGCACTGCTTTTGTACATGTTCATACACGGGACCGTTCAAAACTTGATCCTAGGGCTAAAAAGTGCGCGTTTGTTGGGTACTCTCCTAAACACAAGGGTATAAATGTTATAACCTCACCTCTAAAAAATTCTTTGTGAATATGGATGTGACCTTTTTTGACACTCAACCCTATTTCACCAAAAATTCTCTTCAGGGGGAGAGTAATGAGAGGGAAGACCATTTTTGGGTAGTGTTGGTCTCTTTACCATTGCCAAGTGTTTCACCAAACTCTACCTTACCTGCTAAAGCTACTGAACCCACTATTTCAACCTCTCCGAAGCCTATTGAGTTAAACATTATAGACTACACTTCAAGGGGGGAACCACTTCGAATCCAACCTCAATCTGAGCTCCGTGTTTACTCTTGAAGAAGGAAGGATTAAAAAAAAGAGCACCAACCTACTACCTGCCAAGAAAATTCTCCAGATAAAGGCAACTTGAATGAAACAGGTATTTCTGTCTTTAATCCATCTTTAATTCCTGAAACCAGCAATGAAGAGAGCCTTTCTCATGACCTTGACATTCTTATTGCACTTAGGAAGGGTACTCGCTCTTGTACCATGCATCCTATTGCTAAATATGTGTCCTACCATAGATTGTCTCCAAATTATAGAGTAACTCAAAATTATAGAGCTTTTACCACTAATCTCTCTAGTGTTTCAATTCCTAGAACTATACAGGAGGCCTTAAATCATACTGAGTGGAAAGCAGCTGTGATGGAAGAGATGAGGGCTATTGATAAGAACAAAACTTGGGAGATTGTTGAGTAGCCAATGGAGAAGAAGACCGTAGGCTGCAAATGGGGTGTTCATGGTCAAATATAAGGCTGATGGTAATATTGAGAGATACAAGGCGAGACTCGTAGCTAAAGGCTGCACCCAAACATATGGAATAGATTACCAGGAAACCTTTGCCCCGGTGGCAAAGGTAAATTATACGGGTGCTGTTGTCTCGTGCTGCAAGCTTGAGTTAGCCATTGCAGTAGTTAGATGTAAAGAATGCATTCTTAAATGGTGAGCTAGAGAAATACTGTTTATAAATCTACCACCGGGATTTGAAACTGATTTTGGAGCTGGAAAGGTGTGTAAATTGAAGAAATCACTATATGGTTAGAAACAATCACCCAGAGCATGGTTTGATCGATTCACTAAAGCTATCAAGGGTCATAGATATCGTCATAGGCTGATCACACTCTGTTCTACAAACATTCAACTGATGGTAAGATAGCCATACTTACTGTTTATGTGGATGACATAATCTTGACCAGAGATAATAAAAGAGAATTGGAGGATTTGAAGTCTTTTCTTGCAAAGGAATTTGAGATAAAAGATCATGGAGCTTTGAAATACTTCCTAGGAATGGAGTTTTCCAGATCCAAGAGAGGGATATTTGTCTCTCAAAGGAAGTATGTGTTGGATTTACTTATAGGGAAGTTATTGTCCTTCTAATGATGATTTCATAGATTTTTTTGGACCTTCTGGGTCCTTAGGTTTCAGTTCTGTTTTTGTATATGGGACGCGTTCCCCTTTTGAACGCTTTTTTCATTTCAATCCACATTTATTGATCAAAAAAAAATTACTTATGGAGACAGGTTTACTTGGCTGGTGGAAACACCTATGGAGCCCAATTTAAAGTTGCAGGCAGCAAGTGCAGAAAAAGTGGTGAACCAAGAGCAATTCCAAAGGCTGGTTGGAAGACTCATTTATCTTTCACACACTTGGCCAGATATTGCCTTTGCAGTGAGTGTAGCGAGTCAATTTATGCACTCACTAGGAGAAGAACACTTTGAGGTAGTCTAGCGGATTCTCAAATACCTAAAGGGATCAACTGGAAGAGGTTTGTTGTTTGAAAACCACGGCCATCTAAGGATTGAAGCCTGTACCGATGTTGATTGGGCAGGTAGTGTGACGGATAGAAGGTCTACTTCAGGTTACTGTACTTATGTGGTGGCAACTTGGTTACTTGGAGGAGCAAGAAGCAAACTGTTGTAGCAAGGAGTAGTGCAGAAGCTGAGTTCAGAGCAATTGCTCATGGAATTTGTTAACTTTTGTGGATGAAAAGACAACTTGAAGATCTTAAAATCTCAAGTCTGATGCCTATGAAGCTTTACTGTGATAATAAAGCTGCAATCAACATAGCTCACAATCCTGTCCAACATGATAGGACTAAGCATGTGGAAGTTGATCCACGTTTTATTAAGGAGAAATTGGAAGGAGTGATATGTATGCCCTATATTCCTACAAGAGAACAGGTAGCAAATATCCTCACTACAGGATTACCTAAGGGGAAATTTGACAATCTTACATGCAAGCTGGGAATGCAAGATATTTTTCGAGCCAGCTTGAGGGGGAGTGTGGAAAGATCTAGGCTGAATTGTTAGGAAATTAGTTAGGAAGGATTTTTAGGAATTATCCATAGTTAGATAGTTGACTTTTTTAAATTTTACATAAGTTGTTCCTATATTATAGGAATTATGATTTGTATATATCTTTTCCTTAGATAGAATTTGTAATACACTTCTATATATATAGGCCTGTAAACTAACATTTGTAATATGAAAACAGAATATCATAATTTATTCTTTTTCACCTTTGTGTTCATGCACATCCCAAGTAATCCTCCCGCTATCAAGTCAATAACAGTCGGCCACCAAACCGTGTCTATTAACGGCAATCCTGAATAGCCTAGGGAAGGAACAAGCCAATGGATGGTCACCACACCATAGCTCCTCCCAAAAACGAGTGCCCCTGCTCCAAAAACTGTTGCCTCAGCACTTTTTGACTAATGGAGCATATTGGTGAGAAGTTATGTGGACTTGAATTTTAATTTGAGTTGAAGTTGCTAGAGATGGATTTGAGTCTTGGAGTTGTTAATGGTTTAAGAAAGTAAACCTTATTTTGGTGAATGGTGGCTATTTCACATGCCAGGGGGAGCGGGCATGACAAGATACCTATTCAACCCCACTCCCCCTTCCTCGTCTAGATCTATTTCATATCTAAGAATCCATGTTTTTTTTTAATAAGTATATCTAAGAATCCATATGAGCATACCTTTGCACAACCTTAAAATAGAATATAAATATAAGATATTTTTCCATAAAAATTTATGAATAATTAAGATCTCATTCACACTATCTGTAAATAATAACTACAATGATTTAAAATACAGTATGAAGCATAGTCCAACATGCTTAATGGTGCCTAATGGGTAAAGAGGGGGGCTTCACTTGAATTTATGATAAATTTTCCAAAGAGAAAAGTTCAAAAATTACGTAAAATAAATACATTTATCACCAGGAGCAACCATGTCCAAGTAAAACACTATGTTACATGAGTATAATGTGCTTACTTGACGACGAACAAGTCTTCTTGTGTTGGCTTTTACTCTGTCAATGGCTTCTTCCAATAGAAGTTTCAGCTGGTTCTCACCGGAAGAATTCAGGATCTCTTTCATATTTTCTTTCAACAACTTACCAGCCTTGTTTATTGACATCTGGGAATGTCTGTCATCAGTCGAATCAATTTCTTTACAGTTCTGACCTTCAAAAAGGTGAACTCTCAGAAAATCCTCAAACTCACGGACACCAATAGCCTGTCGTAAACCTCGAGTATAATCTGCATTCAAGTTGTAAATGTCGTAGACTTCATTAAGCAAACCAGCATCAACCATGTGGTCTACCCTTTGTTCCACATATTGGTCCAATAGAGGAAGAGATGCGTCGACACATATAAAACAGCAATTATATCTACAATTATCAACACGACCCCAGTTCTGCCCTGCCACATGCAAATTAGCACATTATTCAAGAGTATTCATGTCAGCTTGGTTATATGTAGCCCTTAAAAAAAATATGGCTTTATCCACTAATTAATAATTATTGGTTCTACTTGCACTGTTCCATCCCACAAAATAGAATAGGATAAATCTGTAAAAGCCAATAAATAACATTATATTAAAACTTCTTCTTCTTCTTTTTCTTCTTCTTCTTCTTCTTCTTCTTTTTTCCCCAAGAATAATGGGGAACTCCAAATTTGCAGCTACCATTATGCAGCTTATAACTAAATTTTATGCTTTCAATACTTTTTTCAGTATTCAGATGCTATGTGAGTATCCACTGACAAAATATATAAAATTAAATAAATAAATAAAATAGAAAAATAGAACAGTGCCCTAGACTGTACATAAATCATGGAAAACATATAATATGTCAATCTAAAAGATGGTCTCAGTACAACAAATCTCAAGGAAAAAAACATCTTTTAGAAAGAAAAAAGCCTAGCCACACTGCATTTAAGCACTTAAGAGTGTGTCCAAAATCAATCCTACTCATCAAAATGAAAAGGATGCCTTATTCTAACATTAACCAATTATCCACATATAATAAGCAGTACAAACCTCCATGGCCGTCTCCTGAAGTAGTTTGCTGGGAAGAACACCAAAACTAGCATACAAGCTTAAGTATTTATTGATCTGCATAAGCAGTACCAATTAGAGTTACACCTATGATACAAAATAAAATATTCCACAAGGAAAATGCAACTGCAATAATATAAGTACACAGAAGACAATTGATCCAAGTTCCAACAGAAGACTAGTATGCAAGATTTTGGGACATTTTGCGAGAGAGAATCTAATTCAGCTCCAATTCAAAAACCATGGCAAGTACAGTGTTTCCCATAATATGAAAGCATTAACAATGTGCACCACCAAACACAGATAAAAAATAAAATTGATGCCAATCATTTTGAAATGTTTAATTTTCATAAGTTCATAATCTACAAGTCCTGTGTGCATGCACGTGTGTGTGCGCGTGCGTCTGTGTGTGTGTGTGTGAGAGAGAGAGAGAGAGATGTGTTTAATGGGTGAGTCAAATCTTTTAAAACATAGAAGCTCAATCTTTTAGACATTGCTTTAAATTCTCTGTAGTTGATGGAAAGTTCATCTTCCTTTGGTATGAATTTGGGATGCCTACGGGGGCAATTCAACATGTCTCCAGAGAGAATTATGCAAATCACTAAGCTGCCAAAGTGTAAAAGTAGCAGGGGAAAAGACTAATAGCTATTAGAGTTGTTTTAGAAGTACATATTCTAAATAAAGTACACGGGACACTCCTCAAATAGCATTACATGAAACTACAAAAAGCCTCGTTTGGGATTCGATAGCAGAAATGATACAATTGATACACAATCAAGAAAGCATATTAATAGGAGTAGAATTTAATGGAAATGTAGACGATGATACAATTGATAAAAAACGAGTTTCTCAAAATATAAACCAAAACAAGATACCCCAGCCACTTCACCTAGCTAGGCCATGCCCAATATTTGATGGAAGAATAGCAGAGAGAGATCGGCAACCAGCAAGAAAGCAACTCTAGTGGTCGCGTCAGCCATCTACGTACAGTTACATAGTTTTTTGGTCTTTCATATTCTAGGGTTTGGGTTTTTCTCTTCTTTTTCCTACTCAGATTAGGGTTACCAATTCTATCTTTTACTGTTTATTTTCTTTACAATCTCAAATTTGAACTAGGTTTTGAATAATTTTAACTTGGGTAGAGATTTTTATTTATTTATTATTTATTTTTTGTTGTATCATGCCATACCCGTATCCTTTTTTTTTTTAGATGTGCCGTACGCAGTAACTGTATCATATCGTATCTGCATCCAATATCTATATCCGTGCTTCGTAGCATAAAATAAAAATAAAATAACATTCAAACCAAAATTTATCTCCACTTGCCCCTTCTCCAGAACTAGAGGGGAGTTACATGCTGCCCATGCTTTGGGTCACACCTCGTTCTACATCAGAAAACCTGAAACTAGATTATGTGTACACCCTACCCAAGGGGAAAAAAGAAAAGAAAAATGAGTTTCTCAAAATATAAATCAAAACAAGATACCCCAGCCGCTTCACCTAGCTAGGCCATGCTCAATATTTGATGGAGGAATTGAAATAGCAGTGTACCACCAACAAGTACAACAAATTCTAACCCTAAAGGGTTGGCCCAGTGGCAAGCTCACTTGCCTTGGTGCCTCATGAAGCCTCAAGTTTGAGGTTCGACTCCCACTGGGTGTAAGCAATTCCTTGGGGCTACGCCTCCGTAGCTATACTCCGTGACTTACCCGGCCCAGGATGGGGAGGCGCCCTTCCTGGGTCCCCAAGGATTAGTCGGGGCGGAGCCCCAGACAACCCAGGTTAATCGAAAAAAGAACAAAAAAAAAAAAAAGGTACAACAAAGTCTTAATTTAACAATTTCCCAACCGCAAGTTCTCCAACGAGCGGAACCATGTTTATCTTTTACGTTCTTTTTCCTATACTATCTCTATGTTTCATACAAACAACAGATTTCTACATTAGTTTGGCAACATGGCTCAATTATAAGACCGAATAAAAATTGTTAAAATTGGATGCGGAAATAAGAAATGCAAATAGGAAAAGAGAAGAGAGAAAGATGGAGAACACAAGCATATACATGGTTCGCACTAAGGCCTACATCTATGGACAAAGAGCCACTAAGGGCTACATTTTTCTTATTCAGATCTATATATTGCATGAGTAAAAGGAGCCTATATATAGGCATGGTAAAGATAAGAATGTATGGAAAGTGTACAATAGTCAAAGGAGACACCATGATTGGTGGAGGATTTTGCTCCACCGTCATATGGAAATATTTATAATTGGAAGGAAATTGACCAGATCACCATGATTGGTGGAGGATTTTACTCCACAATTCTATAAAAATATTTATATATTTCAACACTCCCCCTCAAGTTGGAGCATAAATATCATAAATGCCCAAGTTGCTAAAGAAACGCCTTGAAAGATGATGAAAAGGTGTCCGGAACAACGAAGGGAAAAGTCGGAACTAAGCCAGGAAATGGCCGGAATTAAGCCGGGAAATGGCTGGAATTATGCTGGGTAAAAGCCGGGAACAACGCCGGGAAATGGCCGGAGCTGCGCTAGGAAAAAAGCCGGAACAACGAAGGGAAATGGCCGGAACTATGCCGGAACAATGCCGGGAAAGGAATATGAAGACATAGAGAATATGCTCCATGATAATAATTCCAATACTCCCCCTCAAATTTTAGATGGGATTACAAGAAGAACTTGGCTTTGATACCGTGTTAAAATTGGATGTGGAAATAAGAAATGCAAATAGGAAAAAGGAAGAGAGAAAGATGGAGAACACAAGCATATACATGGTTCAGCACTAAGGCCTACATCCATGGATGAGCCACTAAGGGTTACATTTTTATTATTCAGATCTATATATTGCTTGAGTACAAGGAGCCTATATATAGGCATGGTAAAGATAAGAATATATGGAAGATGTACAATAGTCAAAGGAGGCACCATGATTGGTGGAGGATTTTTCTCCACAATTTTATAGAAATATTTATATATTTCAACAAAAATTGATAATCACAACTAAATTTATAATAAAAAGGAAACCTTGTATGGAAAGTTAAGGAAGAATAAATATAATTTAGATTAAATTCCCACCTTTCTTTGGTCATTTGGATGAATTCTATTTGCCGCAATTGGATCAAGATCTTTAAGACAGTCATAATTATAACTGAAACTAGTCGGTCCTAATTCCAGTACAGAATCTGGTATTTTATCTCCTGTGAGCAGAAAGTGAATTACTTTGCATTACATTGTGATATGTTATAAATAAATATTAAGATTTGAACCAAAAAGGTTGCTGTTTACCAGGAGGGTTGCTTGAGCAGTTTTTGTCCATATCTTCTACTGAATCATCCAGAAGGAATGGACTCAGAAGAGCCTGAGTGCGGTAAACAGAAGAAAAGCATAAATACATACCATGCTGCAAATGGAAATATAAACTTGGCAACCTTGTAATTGAGAACAAATTAATAGAATAAAACAATTAATGCTTTATAAAGAACATATAACTTCATGATCTGCAGTGCAAATAATAGATTGATTCACATATATATTACTACTTGTGGAAAGGACAATTAGAACAGCTAAACCTGCATGCATACAATCAACGAAAACTAGAGCATAAAAAGAATTTACTCCACGCAGAACGAAATTCAAAGGGAATATTTTTCTAAAAGATAACACCAGTAAAATGTCATAAAAACACAAACAAAATGCTTCAAAGACTGAGACGGTCAGCAACAAAAACAAGAGAATGTGTAGAGCATGCAACATGGAATGACATTATATTTAGCCATAACAACAAACTTCCCATGACAGAACTCAAGCAAATAATAATATTAAACCTCGGACCCAGTAAGAGTTTAAGAATAAGAATACAAAATGTTGCACTCCTCCGATACAGTAACTACTCAGAAGTTTTTGTCTCATTGGTCCAAATATCACCAGAAAGCTTGGCATTGGCATCTACATCACATATCCCACACAAAGCGCCGCCCCCCCAAAACCCCCCCCCCCCCCCCCCCCTCCCCTTTCCACACCTTTTAGCAGCCTTGTTACTTGTGCGACAGCTACCTTAGGTTGTTTGTGACATCGTGTGACGTTGCCTACATATGTTTTTCTGTGTTGCTATTTTGTGATCGAAAACAGGCATTTTCAAGTTTTACAATTTCTTTTTTACTCTTCTAGAGTGGGTAAATTTGGATAGCTGGTCTCCAACACCTAGAAGGGCTTGGGTAAAAATAAATAAAAATCTAACAGTGTCAGAATTATCCAGCGAGACATGTCATATTTATCCATAAGTGTAACACAACTATGATCATCAACGAACAACACGAAGTATCGAAATCCAAGATTAGAAGTAACTGAGCAAGAACTTCACACATCTGAATGAACAAGATTAAAAGGTGTTAAATCGGATTTATTACTACTAGCAGGATAATTGGAACGAATATGTTTAGCCATATGACATGTCTCACAAAATAAATCTGACACTGCCACGTTATAAATATGACACTGCACGGAATTTCCAGCTGGGACGAGATATCACCAGAATTTCTCAGGGTGACTTGACAATTTCAGGTTATATCGCCAAGTTTCGTGCTATTTGGGAGGAGATGTCATATTATGATTCCTTCCACTCTTGGAAGGATCCAGATGATGCAATTTTATATACAGGGATTGTGGAGAAGAATCAAGTGTTTCAGTTTCTTGCCGGGTTGAACGACGACTTCGAGTATGCTTGTGTTCATTTATTGGGCTTATCTTCATTCCATACTTTTGAGGATGCATGCTCCTATGTGTTGTCAAATGAGAGCTGTTAGACTCATCTATTAGGTGTTGCTAATGTTAATTATTCTGCTATGGCAGTTCGTGTTCCCAACCTTTCAGGAACTGCACCATCCCAGTCAGTTCAGAACTCTACCACCGGTCCTCCTCTAGGACGACAACGTTGACGGTGTGACCATTGCGGAAAAATTGGTCACATCAAATCTCGTTGTTATGCTTGACATAGACACCCACCATAACAGAAACAACAACCTCGATCCTCTGCACATTCTGTTACATAACCAGTCTCATTGTCAACTCTTGACAACTTTGCCTCTACATCTTATGCCACAGTTACCTTGACTCAAGCTGATTTGGACAAGTTCAAACAATTCTTCAACCAAAAGGAAGCATCATCTCAGCCAACCTCCACTTATGCCCACTCAGGTACTATTGTGTCTGCACATAGTGAATCTACATCTTCGACACCATAGATCATTGATTTTGGTGCTTCAAACAATATGACTGGTATGTCCTTATTCTTCCAATCTTATAGTATCTGCTCTGGCCATCACAAATTATGCCTTGCGGATGGCTCTCCATCTTCCATTGTTGGGAAGGGTCACATATCAGTTACTCTTTCGTTAACTTTATCAGATACACTTCATGTTCCATAGTTGACTACAAATCTTATTTCTGTTAGTAGAGTTACCAAACAATTAAATTGTAGTGTAACATTCTTTCCCTCTCATTATATTTTTCAGGATTTGGTGTCGAAACGGACGATTGGTAGTGGGCGTGAAGTGGACGGTCTATATCTGTTGGATGCTCCTTTGTCACCTCAAGCACATTCAGCTTCATTTTCTAAATTTGTTTCATCTAATAAAGCCCAGCTTATGCGTTGGCACATGCGTTTAGTACATATTTCTTTTGGTTATTTAAAACCTTTTACATATTTCTCTTCTCTTTGCTCTATATTGTATTTCTTCTTGGTATCAAAGCCAGGTTACGGAGTACACTTATAGTTGTCCAAAAAAAAAATGTGACAGTGTCAGATTTTTCCGTCCTTATTTTGTAATGTGGCAATGTCAGATTTATCCAGTGAACATGTCATATGGCTAAACATGTACGTTCGAATTATCCTGCTAGTAGTAATAAATCTGTTTTAACACTTTTTGATCTTGTTCATTCAGATGTGTGGGGTCCTTGCCTAATTACTTGTAGTCTTGGATTTCGATATTTCGTGTTGTTAATTGATGATTATAGTCATGTTACATGTGTTTATCTTATGAAAACCAAAATTGAGGTGTACACCATTTTTAAAAATTTTATGACAATGGTTCAAACTCAATATGGTCATACCATTAAAAAATTCAGATGTGAACAGGGTACGGAGAACGCTTATAAGGAGGTACAACGGTTATGTACAGAATTTGAGATTGAGCATTAGATGGCTAATGTTAAAACTCCTCAATAGAATGGCCATTCTGAGAGAAAGAATCGCCACACCCTTGACTTAGCTAGAGCAATCTGCATTGGCGTGTTTCCCAGTCATTTTGGGGAGATGCAGTTTTTATGGCGGTTTACATCATTAATAGCCTAATAGGACTCCTTCTAGGGTTCTTAACTTTGCAACCCCACTCTCAATCTTACATCCCAATTCATCTCTTTTTTTTTTTTATTCTTCCATCTACATGTTTTAAATATGTGTATGAAGGGAAATGGTCTGAGGAGACATTATTAATTGTTTATCGTCTGAGGAGACATTTTTGATTTGTTGATCGGCACTTCATCTAAGAGAAAATCATCGCTAGTCAAATTTGCACTCCATTTGTCACAAACTCTCAGCAGCTTGCAGACATTCTTACAAAGGGCATTAGCAAGATTGTGTTTGAGAATGCATTGTCCAAGTTGGGCGTTTCAGATATCCACGCACCAACTTAAGGGGAGTGTTAGCATATATGATAGCCACGATTTATGGAATGACTTACCATATTAGCAAAGATTTGCTTATGATATAGAATATGCTATGATTTGATTTAGTTTCCTTTCTTGTAATATGATCATGTGCTCTTTTTATCTATAAATACTTGAGCTATGAATGAGTAAGTCATCTCATTCAATCCTTTACACAATTCTCTCCTCCTCTTTATATTTCTACTAAGTGCCATATAGGTAGCTTGATGAGGATCATTCTTGGCTCATTTTATGACCCTTTGCATGTTCTCCAAGTTTGATTTAGGGTGGAAGAGGCTTAGACCTCATTTTGACATTAAAAAAGCGATGTTTTGGAGCTTTATATCGCATTTTGCCCAAACGAAAACACAACCAGTTGCATTTCACCGCAACCGGTTGTGCTTGCTGGGTATTCATTGTTCACCCATTTTCAGGATTGATTTGAGGGGCATCGTTTGTGGAACTTAATCGATGATTTTTTAAGGCTATTTTGGGGACTTATTGAGGGTCCTAAACCAAGCATTAGATGTGATAAAACTTGCTTTGATCCCTCTTTTCATCTCCTTACTTTTCCATGTCCGAAACGGAGGCAAATCCGAGAGGGCCTCCAAGAAAGATATCCAAAATGGGTTTATATCGCCATCAATTGATTTTATTCATGAAACTTGATTTAAATGGAAGTTATTTGGGATGTGGGAAGTAAATCTATTTCACTCACTTGATCTTTCCTTTCAATCCTAGTATCTTTCTACACGTGCGAACCAGGGCTAGCCGGGGACACTTCCTGGCAACGTTTTCAAAATGAAACCTAAACTTCTCTAAATGATTTCATTAGTGTATATGATATAAAATGACTTCATTGGACTTGTTGCGGATCAAATTCCTCTCTTTCCTTGCATTGGTATGATGTGTGCCCGTATGGTCATAATGAAGTAGATGGGCATACGACTACTTGCATTCATTCACCATTCATTTCTTCCTTACACGTGGGGTTTAAGGGAGTTTGTTGTGACATGGTTGGCATGTCATCCATGGCCACATAGGTCATGGGGTTCTGTATGGTGTGGCTTCCGCATTGGGATCCGGGTGTCGGGTCCAGTTTATTTTTATTTCACTCATGCACCATGTCTTTAGGATTCGGGGCGTGACAAGAATCATCTAGCTTGCATGAGTTTTGTACAAACAAAGATTAGATCTAAAAACATGGACGGAATATGTCAGCATCTTATTAAGGGAAGGTCTAACATTCAGAAATATAATGATCCTCTCTATTGATCACAAACTCATAAGTACCTTGTGAACAGGTAATTCATTGCAGCCTTACTGCAGTAGAATCTAAAGAGCATTTTTTCACTTCATTTGTTTATGGTTTAAATTTTACTCAGACTGAGTTCCCCTTTGGAACAATATTCAGCCTATTACTGGGTGATTTTAATGACGTTAGATTTCCCTATGAGAGGTTTGGTGGGAATCCAAACTGGCATCCTCATTCCTCATTTGGCTGATTTTAATAATTGTTGTCTTTAGTATGAACTAGAAGAGTTTAAATACACTGGTGTACAACTTACTTGGAAGAATGAAGGAATGACCAAACTAGGAAAAAAAAAAAAAAAAAAAAAGGAATGATCAAGCTTTTATAGCCAAAAAACTGAATAAGCACTTGTGAATGTGGCTTGGCTTTCAACTTTTTCTTCTTCA